GTCCCCTTGAGCTCTGTCCACTTTTTTCTCTAACTACTATCAAACTCAAGAGTTAAATTTTAGTTCTATTAATTATCCCATTCTTACTTTCTAGGGAGAAGAAAATTCATTTTCAATGGAGGCACTAGAAATTTAGAGAAGGGCTCATGATATCTTTTGGTTTTTTTGTTTTGTTTTGTTTTTTTGAACAAGGCTTGATTTTTATTGTTTAAAAATACTTTATATTTATTTTTCTTTCTGACTCTATGCTTGTGCCTTCAACATTCCACAATGATTTCCTGCTCCTCAATAAAGAGCAGGTCCTGTCATAGACACGTTTAGCACACACAGAACCTTCATATGCCCTGCCAACGTGTTACTTTTTGTTGGACAATCTCATAAGGACTTTAGGTCTCACAATACGAACCTTTCAAAATCTGTCCAGACACACACCACATGCAGATTTCAATGCTTTCCCTTCCTTCTTGGTATAAAGGTAAACAATCTTTTTACCAGGGGTTCAAGACAGCCTAATTTTGTTAGAGGCTGTATTGTAGGAAACCATACATACATCGGTATGCCAAATGTTAGACCATTCTGAGTGCCTTCAAGCACCATCCTCTGAAGAGGAAAGGACTGATGGTATCGTTTGGCTCAAACACTAATGCTTTGTGGAAGTTCTTTACGGTATTTGTTAGAATGGAGCCAGGGGCTCCTCCCAAGCCCATGTTACCCCTGAGGAACAGATCCTCAAATGACCTTAAGAGTAAAAATAAATTGGTTTATCTGGGCCAATTATAGGGTTAAAACACCCAAAAGGACATTATAACCCAAGATTAATGGGGTCAATGTAATTTTTAAGGGTCCATATGTATAGCCAAAGGCTACATAACAAGAAACAATGCCAGACAGGAGATACTTTCCTTTGAGTTATTGGCCAGGGTGGCCCAAAAGACCCCCAGACAGTAACCCAGCATAAAACTGGGAAAATGAACAGCAGATCCCAATCTTATCTAAAGGAATATTGACAACTGATTAATGCTAGATGAGGAACAGCTGATCTTCCTAAAGCAAGGATTTCTAGATAGGCTGACTAGATTCAGTGGATGGACAAGCACTGGGGAATGGCTGGGGGTGCCAACAATATAGCAGACAGTAACAGGGGTGACAGAGTATATGGGTTCCAGTGTGTGTGGGGGAGGCTATGGAAGGGTGCCATTTAGGATGTGGATATATAGATGAATAAGATTGTATGGGATGTTCTGTATGATATACACACAAAAAAATCAACAAATTTTAAAAAAAGATTTATAATTGAGGAAGAAGCATAAAAAATTTACTTCACATTAATTAGTAGAGGTGATAAACATTACCATTGAAATCTACCTGATGACTTTATATCCATACTCAGGTGCCAAGGATCTGAGTGTAACCGAATGTGACTAGTAAACATCAGATATGTAGAGATTAAAAACACGTGCAAACATCTACGCGTTAGTAGCATTAAAAATATAGGAAACATAGCCAGGCATGGTGGCACACACCTGTAGTCCCAGCACTCAGGAGGCAGAGACAGGCAGATCTCTGTGAGTTCAAGGCCAGCCTGGTCTACATAGTTCCAGGACAGCTCGGGTTACAAGGAGACCATGTCTCAAAAAAAAAAAAAAAAAAAAGTAGGAAACAGCATTTTTTTAAATGAAATGGAGATCTTTTTTAAAGGGTAAAATCTCACACAATTTATGTCTTATAGGGTTTATACTGAGTACAATATTGTATAAGTGTAATAACTAAACTGTAAACCTAAAAATGTTGTATCCACTTGTGAAAGAGATGTGCTCTTGCTCTGGAGTGTGTTACTGAATATGTTAAAGCTGTAGTGAAATGTTTCTTCTAATCATGTGGTTATTAAATTAAAAATTAAAAAGAAAATTTTAAATCAACTATGTCATATTCCTTTATGTCATATAGATTTTTACTAACTAGAAAAGACATCAGAAGAAGTTACATTATCAATATTATAATACAAAGCACTATGTTCTCTAATAAATGTGGATAAGACAATGCTTCTGATGTACAAAATGGAACCCAGAACCACAGATTATCCCAATCTGATCTTTTAGACCCACCATGGATGAGCCATGCAGAGAACTGTGGCCTGACCCACTTCCCATTGATGCTCAGAGGAAGGCAGACACTGTTCTAAGATGTGGCCCAGTCAGCTGCCCTGCTGGACCAAGCGCAAGGGAGTGAGCAAGTGTGCACACACCATCACGATGATCCTCACGTGGGCCTCTGCATGGTGTGGTTCAGGCTGCTCACCCTGGGTGCTTTTCAGAGGGGCTTGTGGCATGCCTGTGTCTCATCTTTATTCACAGAAAGGCTCTTTGTCAGCTCTTGGAACCTGCATTTACCCCAGTCTCATAGGAGACACTCCTGGGATGAGTAAGGGCAGTGGTGGAAATGTGGGGATTGGGATCCTGGGTAAGCAACCCAACGTGGTATTCTGTTGCTTCTTTCTTTGAAACTGTGGAGCAAGTGCCCTGTCATCTTTGTGAGTATTTAAGGAACTAAGCAGTAAATGTCCAACTCTTATAAGTTAATGAAAAGGGAACAGTCATTCGGAAAGAGAATGGTGTTCGGAAGAAAAGAAGCTTTGAATTGCCACTAGATCAAACACATAGTCTCATAGTATTTACTATGTTCCAGGTACACTGCTAGGCGTTGGAGATACTGTGGTGACTTGAACAAGCAAAGTCTCGAAACGTATGGGTTCTAGTTTCCATGCTTTTTGTTCCCTTGGACAATCTATTTCATCTTTGAAATGCAGATCTGTAATGACACTATTATTTTCTGTCTTAGTGCTAGTATTCTTACTGCATCTTCAGGTTCTCCTGAAATTTATGAGGGAGGATCTTTCACAGTATTGGCTTGAGAAGAGGGGTCCCAGCATTCCTCTCTGGTCTGTCCTTCAAACTTCCAAATCAAGCCATAATTCTTATCTGGTAGCCCAGCTATCTGCTGAGAACAAGCCATCAGCAGGTAGCAGACAGTCTTTACAGACTTTAGGAATCCCTTCATCAGCACACGTGGATGAAAAATTCAGAATAGCAGAGCAGAGCATGCTGCATGTGGAAGGCAAGAGCAGGCTCTGGAGGTGGACAGGAGCCATCCTAGGAAGGGGACTGACCACATTCCTAGTGTAGTGTAAAGATAACTCTGGTTGGTGGGGTTTTATTAATTTAAAAAATATTTTGTTTTTATTTTGTATGTGTATGAGTGTATTACCTGCATGTACGTTAGTGCACCCATGTCATGCAAAGCCCTTGGAGGTCAGAAGAGGGCATCAGATCCCCTGGAACTGGAGTTATGGATGGTTGTTGGCCACCATGTGGGCCTTGGGAATTGTTCTGAAAGAGCAGCTAGTGTGCTTAACCACTGAGCCATCTTTCTAGCCCCTAATTTTTATTTTTTCGAGACAGGGTCTCACTGTGTAGTCCAAGTTGTCTTAGAATTAACTAGGTAGTTTAGGGTGACCTTGAACTCTTGATGATTCTTTTGCCTCAGCCTTCCTGAGTGCTAGGATTTAACAAGGAGTAACCTGATCAGATATGCACATAAAAATAGTCACTCCAGCTCCACTTTACAGTGGAATTAGAAATGGGCTGTACCTGTAAGCAAGAAGGTTAGGACCCTAACCTAAATTCAGAAGTGAAGGGCAATGAAGACAAACGGATATGGAATTTAAAGAGTTGGAGAGATCAAATGAGGGAGAAGCAAAGAAGGGAGCTCGAAACTCTTTGTTTTTGGCAAATGAGTGGTATCTGTGCCTTGTGACTGTCCTGGTCAAGGTGGACTCTGGAGCGAGTAATCAAATGGGCCTGGAAAGGAAAGAGAACGAGGTGCTGGGTAGACCACTCATTGCCTCAATTTTGTTGCAGACTACTTATTCACACTTGTCTGAACTCAAGACTGCTCATATTGTACAACCTGACAAAGTACATATTATGTTTATTCAGTTTATAGTGTAAGAATCTAAAGTGAGGGCCAGTGCACTGTCTCAGCATGTAAGGGCACTTGCTGACAAGCCCGATGACTGAGTTCAATCCCCAGGAGCAACACGGAAGAAGAAGAAAACTAACTCCTGAACATTGTCCTCTGACCTACACACACACACACACACACACACACACACACACACGCACACGCACACGCACACACGCACAATGTAATATAGACAATTATTTCAATCTAAAGTAAACTATAGTATTGATGCCCACAAACTTTGGGCTAGGTTTGATAAAGCCATCATTCTATATTCTCTAAAATAAGGACACATCTACTCACAGAGACATGAATGAGAGACTGAGCAAGTGATGGCATCTAAATCCAGCATCCCATTCAGTTCCAGAACCTCTCAGAGACTGAGCTGCTACACATAAGCATATGGTTCTAATTGACTTTAATGGGATTCCCTTGCAAACCACAGATTCTAAATTATCCCCCAATAGGTATAGCATTTATAGGAGACGTGTTATTTTCCCTGAATACCCTTTGGGTACTGTTACACTAAATTCTGACAGAAACAGAATTCACAGTCATCTAACAGTAGAATACCAACTGTACACATATTCATTTCTTATAAACCACAGAAAATAGGTATTTATAACATGTTTTAAAGAGAATCTAATTTCATGTTAAGAAATAGCAAATGTAGCCTTGATATAATATTTCTGTTTTAATTTGCTTTTATCCAAGAACAAAACTTTCTCTTCCTTTTTTTCTTTTTTTCTTTCCTTCTTTCCTTTTTTGGTGTAGGGGAGGGATTTTTTTTCCCAAGTCTGGAGATTAAACAATTTAGTAGGCATTCCACGTTCAGCATTCAGCTCACAAAAAAGGGATTTGCATATGAAGTTGTTTGCGCAGGAAAACACTTCTGAACGTGCTCATAGTTCATGGGAACTCTCTGTATCCATGGACGCTCCAGTTGGCCCCTCATCCTTCTCTTTTCTCCCTCCTTACAGGTCACTGGATTGACACTGTCTCAGGACCTTGATGATCTTGCCATACTCTACCTGGCCACTGTGCAAGCCATTGCTGTAAGACACTTTACTGACATTTCAAAAGTCCTATCGATACATTGTAAGCCATAAGCTCCTTAAGATGCATCATATGTTTTTTTGAGTTTCTTAATTAAAAGAGAACTTGCCACAAATAAATGTTTACCCATCCAAAAAGAAATGCCGATGAAGATTTTTCACCTGCTTTAATGATAACCTCAAATAAATGAAAGCCAAAAGAAGTTAAAGTCTTTGGACATGATATTCATCACTTATTTGATGTCTCCTAAATTCACCAAATACAGACAAGGTCTATGAATGTGTACATTAGAAAGCTGGTGTTAAGAACAGCTACTATTACACAATGCATAATGTTCACTTTGCAGAAGGATTCCTTATAAGCTTCCTTTAAATAGTAAGCTTTGTTAGAACAAGAAAGGGTTTTGTTTCTAGATAATTAGGTGTTTACAGGAGAGGGTTCAATGATGATGGAAGGAAGGATTTAAATCTGAAATGCAAATAGCTCTTAAATATTCAAAATGAAAATCAAATTCTAGAAGCTCAAAGGAAATCTTCCTGTCTGGAAGTAATTGGCAGGTGGGCTACAGGAACGTTCTAAACCCTGATATCTCACAAAAGTTGGCATGTGTGTCTGTGCTAGAAAGTGTATCTGCGGGAGTCAGCCACAATGTTCAGAGTCTTGGAGCAGAACTGTACCTCAGTGAGATTTGGTCACTTCTGGAAAGAGAAGGGAAACAATAGAAAGGGAAAACTCAGTCTCCTGAATTTGGATTTGAAATTCAGCAACAGACCTATGAATTATTATAGTTATTAGTGGTGGTGCTAGGGGTGGAACCCAGTGCTTACACATCTGAGGTAATTGCTGCACCTCTGAGCCATATCTTCATCCTAAAACAAATGGGTTGGGTTTGTTGGTTAATGCTGTACAGGCATAAGCTATTCAGTTATTCTTTTTCTCCCAATACATGTTTTTGTGATCTCTTTACTTTTAATATAGAACTGCATGTTATATTTATCCATATAACTAATAGAAGCGCATTGCTGGTGCTCAGATTTACTCAGGTGCCATGTGTATGCAACTGAGAGCAGAGCTTCCCACTGCTACAGTAGTGTCCCTTCTGTAACGCCACTACATAGGCATATGGGACCTATCAAGTCAATCAAACGGTCCTTGTAGATTGTAGACCAGACTGTGTCTCCCTTAAGTAACTTTCCCATTGACCCAATACCTTTACCTGTTCAGGGAAGCCAATCAAACTGCTTTCTGTATGGAAACATGGTTAAAGAAAAAGAAAAAGGACAACTGTGACATTAATCAAAATAAAGTGAATAGATGGTGAAACTGTAAAGGAAACATGTCTATTATTAATGAAGACTTTTAGTCATCTTGCTTTAAAATGATGAAGATGGTTATGATACCACTAATGGAGAATAGATATTGGGGCTGTGTGTTATGTTCCAGGGACTGAACTGTATGTACTAAAAAACTGTACTTGCAATCTGTATGATATAGATATCCTATTCCTAGTCCCACTGCTTAGGATCTCAAGCCTTAGAGCAGTTAATTAAATTGCTCAGTGTCCTGTGGCTCATATATGGCAGAGTAGGGACGAGAACTCAGAGCTTATAAAATAAAACTAGATATAAGAACTCTGGAGGAAATTACTGATCTTCTGATTTGGTTGATTTGATTGTATGAAGAAGCTTGCAATAGTCTCAATCACTTGCCTTGAAATGAACAATACTGGAAAATCAGAGATGTGTGACAATTGCACCCAACAAGCACATGGTAGGAAGTGGTCATATGAAGGACAAGGCCAAATGGGACAGGTCAAGGGCATTATCCTATAGTGGTAATGACTATGACCCTTCAGGGGACTCCAACTCTGTGCCAGACATCAGAGTCCTTTACCTGTACAAGGCTTAGGACTGTAGCCCTGCAAACCAGTGGGGTTGTCCTTATTTTTCAGACTAGTGCAGGCTGTTTGCCAGGGTACACAAGGTTGCTAGTGTGCAGAAGTTGGAGGGTGAACCTGTCCATCTCAGCCCCAGCTCCCATTCCATCCACTTTGCTGTAGTGTGTCTCCCTTTGATTTATTCATAAAAGCTAACATGGGTAAAATATTTCAGGCATTCTCAAGAACACTTTTTACTTAACAAATATCAGAAAACATTATTAATTTGGCCTGGGATTTTTTTCACAGAGGTACTTTTCCTGGTATGAACATTTCAGCAGTTAGTCCAGGAATGCCAAATAAGATTAAACTTAATGCATGCAGAAGAGGAAGAAAAAAGAGCCAGCTATGTTTTCTCAAGTAACACATATTTGGGAAATCAATCTTGTATTTAATAGGCTGTACATGTATTTAAAGTGATTCTATTTTTTCTGTCCATTGTCTTAATGACCTTTATAATCCCATGCAGGAAAGCATTTTAAAGATAGATTTCTTGATAAAGCTTTATTGTGAAGTCAATTAAATTGGGAGGGGCTCCATCTGCTTGAAAAAGTATCTGAATGTGCTGATTTTCTAGGCAAAAATGTGCATTTTAATGAAGCATTTTGATAACAGATATTTTCCCATAATGTTCAACTTGAAAAAAAAATTGTTTCCTTCTTCCTGAATATTGCTGTAGCACCTATTCCTTATTGGTGCTAACAAATTCCTCTGTATATTAATATCCATGGTTAGCACTCTGGAAATGGAAGGAAATGAAAGAAAGTTACCTCAAGACTATGTAAAATCGTCCATGCAATAAAATTCTCTCTTGCTTGGCTTCTTTGAAAGACCTGTCAACCACTTGGTTCCTCCATAGCTCATTCATAGTTCTCTTTTCAGAATAGACCCTTAAAAAGTACTATTTGCATTTGAAGTCTCTTGATTTGCATTTGGTTCGGTGTCCCTGGGGAATAGCCTAATTTTAATTTAAATTTCTCAATGAAAACATTTTTTCCAGAAAGGTGAGCACAGAATCATTTTTGCACAAAGCCCTTTGGCGGGCATTTCAAGAGGGTGGGGCGGTACACAGTAGAGTCTGAGGCACTAAAGGGAATGCCCTGCAAAGAACTGCCAGAGTGGGAAATTCCAGCCTACAATGTCACGGGGAGAGACAGGCTGTCACAGTACTGAAGGGAGTGCCTCTTGTTGGGGTCCCCCTTTCCTTTCCCAGGAATGTGCTTTGCATTACCCCAGTGATAGGCTGCTAATCACATGGCTCAAAGGGGTGGGAGGGGGTAAAAATCTTCAGTTTTCCCTGTCTTCAAATTAGAGATGACACTGAAGCACAGAGCAGAGTGCCTAGTGGACCTCATACCCAGAGCAGCCCTTTCGCAAGTGCCCTCCCTGTGCCTGCAGTGCCAAGCTTGTAAGGGACATGCTGCTGTTGCATCATATCTTAGACTGTACCTGTTATTTCTTTCCATGTCACCATTTGTGATGATCCATATTCAGTTTAATGACTATGATATTATTTGTCCCATTAGCAAATGAGAATTGAGTCTTAGAAAGGTTGGGTAGGAGATATAGGTGAACTGTCCAAAGGTCAACTTAGGGCTTTTTAAAGTCAAGTCTCATGCCCTCAGCCATGCAGATCTTAGTCTCTAGAGTAGACCTTAGTGACATAGACTCCACAGGCCTCCCTGCTGGACTTAAGGACATCAACTGACCTCCTAAAGTTATGCATAGACACTTTTTCTGGGTGGGTAAATAGGCTTCATTATATTCTCAGTAAGGTTCATGACACTGCCCCCAGAGATAATTAGCAATATCCAGAGATAATTAGCAATATTCAGTAAGCAGGAGCTGACCTTGTTTGATACAATGTGTTTTAATTTTTTAAGCACACTAGAATCTGTATTTTAAACATGCTGCATCTATATTTTCCCTAGATTCATTAATAGATTCACCAAATCCTTAAGACTCTGGGCTGGAGCTGCTGTGCCTTCTGTTGCTGACTGCACAGGGCCCAGGAATTTCATCTCAACCTCTTTATGCAATCAGAGCTTTCTTTCCATGGTTCTATTTACTGGAGGTTTTGGTGCCCTTTTTAAGGAAAACATCTTTAGTTTCAATTTAATGAAAGAAGACTGACCCAGGTGCCCCTCAGTGCTAATTTCAGAGTAGCACCTGCAGTGAGTCTGTCCCCAGTACCTAATAGAGTGCCTAGGCCACAATAGACTTTCATCACATACTTGAAAAGACTACATTAATAGTTGTGTTAACGGCCCCAACTGTTTTTGTCAGTGTTATATTACTACTGATAGAAGCAAATGGTGAAGTGACTGAAGGGGGTTTGGAGTCCGGCAGACCCAGATTGGAATTCCCTCTCTGATTCAAACAGCTATGTGATCATACACAGTATAATCCCAGTGAACCTCAGATCTCTGGGATGATCCATGCAAAGCTGTGGATGCCACGTCAAGCTCAGGCTAAGCACTTAGTAATATTCCAATCTTTTGCTTTTGCTGCCATCCTAATGCTTTCTTCTGGTTTCTCCTTCAAGTTTGGGACTCGCTTCATCATAGAGGCTATGGAGGCAGCAGGACACTCCCTCAGCGCCCTCTTCTTATGTGGAGGCCTGAGCAAGAATCACCTTTTTGTACAGATGCATTCGGACATTACTGGTAAGCCTAGGGGAGAAAAGAAGGCCATCTTCCAGTTGTCGGCAAAGGGGCATGGCAGATTTGTGGGTAGGCTGAGAATAGGCTGTACATGATGAATCAGGTTCTGAAGATGACCGTGAAGTTTGTATCCTTATGATGTGGAAAACAACTCTTACATATATATCCAGTTATTGAAACAAGGGTGGCAAGGGATAGATCTTAATTCAAGCTTTTACCCGACTTCTCTGAGTACTTCTGATCCAGGCGTGGAATATTGAAGGTACAGGGATAAATAAAATGCTGGGCTTGCCTCTGTGGAGCTCAAGGTCTGTTGAAGAAGGCAAACAGGCACAGTTAATAGAGTGTGACAAGAGCTCTGAGTGAGAAAAGCACACTGAGCACTCCGCCTAGGTTTTGGACTGTGCAGTGCAAGGCATGCACTTAGGAAGCTACCCGAAGAGAGAATGCAGAGCCCAGATGCTGTGGGAACCAGGTCTAGCTGCCCATGGGGATGTAATCCCAGAGCCCAAACACTGGGACTCCTCAGTACTGCACTGATCAGATGGAGGAAATCCAGAGTGATGGAGGCTGGCAGTGGCAGAGCAGCATCTGAGATGAGCCTGGGGCCCCAGGAAAGGGCCCTCTGACAGGAGGCCTGCTGAAGGCAGGAACCTGGCCTAGACTTCTGTCTCTCTGTACCAGCACCTTACCACGTTCCTTCTCCCCCAATGTCTACTGGGGACTGGTGCTCCCTTACAGGACTGATCCCTGGGTGTCTAGGTATAAGCATGGGACAAAGGGAGGGAAATAGGGAAGAATGAACTCTGTCCACGGTCTCAATTTCTGCCTGACCTGAGCCCACCTTACCCTGGTCTCCATTCTTCATGACCCCACTCCCTGAGTTCTTTATACAGTTCAGCAGGCCCTGTCTGAGCTCATACTGCCTCGTTGGTTGTCCCTTCCTGCTCCAGGCCATGTGAATTCCCAGGCGGGAGCTTTATCTAAGCGATAAAGTCCTAGTTGAATCCTGTACAGTTTTAGCTGGAGCTGAAACTAAATAGGATACATATTACCACCTTAAAGATGAGTAGACTGAGACCCAAGTCAGGAGGCAGTTTAGAAAAACATGTAGTGTAAAGGCGGATCTGTGAGAGTTAAAAGCATAGACGTTACTTCATTAACCAAGCACCCACTGTGTGTTAGTGAGAATCACACTATGATCATTTAATTTTCCCTAGCCTAATTAGAAAAAACAGTGCCTTATCTCCAGTCAAGCAAACTGAGGACAGGGATGGTAAATTAAATTGACTATCCCAAGTCAGTCAGCCAGATAGAAATAGGACTATGATTGTAATCAACTGTGTCTGGGCCCCATGCCCCTTACATTCCACAGTGATCGGGGTTTCTGAACGTTTCTTTTGTCACTCTTTGATGATGACCACCCTTTCTCAAGGTTTGTAGAAGTGGAATATGAAGAATGAAGCCAGATTAGCTGGGTGACTCAAGTAAGGTGCAGACCCATCGAGTCTGATTTTCCACTTCTTACCCTTCTAATAAGCCAAAGTCATGCCCTACCTGGATGCAGGGGAGAGGATGGTAGCCAACTTTTCTCGAAAGGAATGGAAAAGAGAAGATCTTTTAACAGGGGGAAAAAGTGCCCTTGAACAGGACAGCTGTGAGTGACCTGGGTGCGGCCTGAGTACTGCAGCTCCAGTCTTTGAGAAAATGGGTCATCCTTCAGCCATGTGCCACTGAGCCAACTCAGAAGCTGGGGTGCAGCAGCCACTTTACCACAAACTCTGCTTTGGAAACTACTGGCCCCTGTGCTGTTGAATGAAAGGCCTTTAATGGTTGTTTGGATTCAGACTGAAACTAGACCCTTTGTCTCTAACTACCAGCCAGTTACAGTTCTGGACAAAGAGATCTTTTCTTTGCCTAGAATTCCTCTGCCCATGACTGACAAGGGATGGCAAAGTGCATCTGCTTCAAATGCTTTGGCTTCTGTTAAACTCATTAATGCATCTGATAAAATAGCTCACATTCCAGGCAGAGCCTCCCTCTTCCTTGCCTTCACCCAGGTCTCAGAGAAAAGAACACATTTGAATTCGTCCTATAAAAAAAACAGTGGAAAGGTAATGTCCTTGGTTGGTACTTTTTAGACAGTGCAATTGTTCTACTTTCTCCACACGGAACAATTTAGAGAAAAGCACAAACATGGTCCATGATTCTCAGAAATACGTGTGAAAAACCCAGTGGAATATGGAAGATTCTTTGTGGACGGTGTAGAGCTGTGGAAAGAGCGATGGCAAGGTTATCTCCCTCATGAGGAATCAGTGCTCAGGAGCTGGAGTTCCAGGCTCTTGCTCAGCTCTCAGTAAGCGATCAGAACCTGTCAGTTCACTTCTCCTTCCATCCAGCCTCATACCCAAAAGGTTAGGTGTGGTAGAGGAAAAGACAGTTTAAAACCTTATAAGCAAATCTTGGCAATTTAGCAACAACCTGCCTTGTGCAGGCGGGGAAGACAGGGCTGTGCCTGCTTGGAAAAGTCATGGGCGTGCAAGGAACCTCCTTGTATCCCAGCCATTGACTTAACTGTGGTTTCCAAAAACAGTGTGTGTTTTTGGAACACAAGTAATTGTAGGTTTCCCCAATAACTTGGGACGAAGTGTTCCTTTTAAACTGTATTTCTTAGTACTGTAGTTTCATTTGGGGTTTCCCTCTTTCTGCCTCACCATTCTGATCATTTGTTCATTTATTTATCTACTCTTAAGCACTCCTTGGGTACCCAGGCTGTCAATCAATATACTTGGCTTGAACATGCAAAGAATAAAGTATCTCCAAAAGATTAGTTACCAGTCAGGAAAGTGCTCATGGGCCTCTGACCCATCGGCAGGAAAGCAGAATACCAGGTGACAGAGCCAGGCAGGGACGAACAGCTCACTCATGCCTGATTAATATGAATAAAGGGGTTATTTACAGAGATGTAGGAAAAATGGGCAACAGGCAGTCCCCTGGGGCTCCTAGTCTCTTCCCACCCCCTAGGCTTATAGAGGAGGACCAGAAGACACCCAGCCCGAGACAGGAGCTTAGTCCTGGATATAGCCATAGGGCAGGGGCTGTTAGGCTTATGAGTGAGGACCTGGAGGTACCCAGCAAGAGACAGATGCCTAGTCCATAGTGTAGCCAGAGGGCCTTTTGCAGATAAGGAAGCTGAGTCATGGAGAGGTTAGATGACCTGCCTAATGTCAAGGAAGCCCAAATGGAAACCCTGGTAGCCTGGCCCCCTGAGCACTTTGAGCTGCATCCTGAGAGCTGAGGGCTTCCCTGGGGGTCCTCTTGACCTCTGCTGCCCAGACAAATAGCCTTGGAGTCAGTCCCATTCATAAATAGGGAGGCTGTGGGTCCCCGAGGGGCTAGAGATAAATCATGTTTGGAAGGCTATCCTCTAAAGAGTCCCAGGTCAGGACTCCTGGGTGGCCATGGATTCACACAGGCATGCAGTGTGCTTTCCTGGTGGAACACCATCACCTTTATGTGTGGCCTGGTATCTGTCCTTACCCTCTAGATGACTGATGGGACCTGCCCTTATCCATTCCCCATAGCTTTCCTCTCTTTCCCCCTAAAAGTCTAATTTTAACCCCATTTTTCAGTTAAGGAAACTGAAGTACAAAGAGGCTTGGTATCTAGCCTAGGATCACACCATAAAGTCAGGAAAGAAACTAAAATGTAAATCATCTTAAGAATCCAGAATCATTGATATGAAACCCACATATGGGGCTTGACCTTCAAAAGGCTTCTTTGTGCCTGGTGGATCCTGACTTGCCTTCAAATGCCTATTTCAGCCTCATGTCCACTGTGATGACCACTGACTCAGAGACTCATTCTCTCATCAATTAGTTGCCATGACTTGGGTTCTGCTCTAAATGCCAGGATCGTGGCAGTAGACAAAATGGAACGTGCCCATCTCATGTAGTATCAGTTCTTTAGGGGCAAGGCACTAAACAACCTCAGCAAGTAAAACACAAGGTAGGAAAGTGGGAGCATGGGGGATACAGAAAGAAATGAGAAGCCACTGGTAAGTGTGTCTTTTCATTTTAAATGCTATGACGAAGGAATGCTCAAGGTTATATTTGCACCAAGGAGAGGAGGCAGTTACATGCGCATCTGGTAGAGCCCTGAAATAGACTCAAGAAATAGTAAGGAGGCTAGGGCCATGCGGTAAGGAGGAAAGGAGAGATCAGACCCTGAGGGCCTCATCAGACTATGTAGACTGCAGTTTATGCTAAGTCCATGGAGAGGCATAGATCTGAATTAGAGAACCAACCCCTCCATGGCCTGTATCTATCGCCTCATCCATCCACCTCTGAGACATGAATAGCCTGATTCATCTCAGCCTTCATTGGGCCCAGTAAAGCGTGTAATAAAGAGTAGAGAAACTGACCCCAATGTCAAGGGCAGCTGCTGCAAGACAGAAACCTGGTCTCACAAGTACATATATATGGTGTTGGTTCCCTTGCAGTTCTTGGCCACTACACCAGCAGTCACAGGTAGAGAAATCCTCTGGAACCCATAATCCCAAGGAACTGGTGTTTTGTCCTTGGAGCTGCTTGCTGGCTCCCCACAGCCCCTGGCCCTGCTCCCTAACCAATTTATGACCTTGTCCTGTGCAGGCATGCCTGTGATCCTGTCACAAGAGGTGGAGTCTGTCCTGGTGGGTGCTGCTATTCTGGGAGCCTGTGCCTCCGGGGATTTTACTTCTGTCCAGGTATGTTTGTAAGGAGCTGTGGCCCCTCCACTGTCTGGGCCTCTCCTTCCTCTTGACAACAGATCACAGCTTGCAAAATACACAGGATATCATTAAGAAATGATAGGCTCCAGCCGGGGAACTCACAAGCATTTCTAGCCTCCGATGCATTTATTGTAGTTTTCCTGACTTGGCCTCTGTTCCCATGGATTGTTCCACTTTTCCGTTGCTTTTCTTTTTCTCCTTTAAAGGGTCTCCTAAATTATTCTCTTCAGTTTCCCCTTGGCCTTTTTTCTTTGATCAGTAAAGCTCAAAATACGAGTTTTTCATGTATACTTCATATTTTTATTTGCTTATTTCAATTGCATCACTTTCCAAAGTGAGGCCTCTTATCAGCAAGAAACACAAAAGAAAAATAAAAGAATTAAAAGTAAAAAATAAGGAACAAAGTATAGGAAGACAGAAACAATTTGGCAACTGTGATTGAGTACATAACTTTGCTATGAGCTGCCTGGCAGCCAAGAGAAAAGGAACTCATGATAAATTACATAATTCTTCCTTCCGAAAAGAGGAAACATACTAGTTTCTGGTAAGAGACAAGCTTTTCCTGCTGCCAAATTGCAAAAGAGATTGCACAAACTGGACTTTGTGGATAGGTGCTGAGTGCTAACCCAGTCTAAAACCCTAAAGCGTGGGTACAGGGTAGAGGCTAAGAGTCTAGGCTTTGAAGTTGGACCACCTGGGCTCAGATCCTAGCCTCTTCCTGCTAGCTCTTAGAACTGAATCATCTACTCCCTACTTGGACTTGCTTAACTAAAATAGTAACCAGTAACTTACTTGTGTGTTCTTTCTATAGGTCAGTTGCACTTATTTATTTTCTGATAGAGCTCTCTTGTCCCCATTTTATAAGTCACCAATTTATAAGCAATTTAGCCAAACATGAAACAGCTAGTAAATGCTAGAACCAAGAAGTCAGACTCCCAGGTACCAGCTGAGAAACAAAGAGCTTAATGACTTGCCCAATGTCTCCAGGTTAAGGTTAAGAACCAGGTTTTCGTCCAGTAGCCCAATAATTAGAGTTCAATTTTTTTGTGACTGGCTAATATAACAGGTACTTCACTAGCTAGATACTAGCTAGATAGCTTTCCTAATGCTTATAACACTCTTCCATGGTCTCTTCACAAGAGAGACCCAGAAAACCTGCAAGAACAGACCATTAGAGACTTACAGATGCAGAAGCCTGTTTCCAGTATCAGTGGTCACTGTTCTGCAATCTGGGAAAGGCGGCACACTACACACTGTCCAGTGGTAATTGCAAAATATCTCTCCTAAGGAATGTAATCTGTTTGTGAACCCATGTGAATTTTAACTGAAGCCTTTAAACAAAGATGATATCATTGAATTCTCAATAACTCCTGGAGTTCCTAATCCTCTCAAAAATGCTATTTAGAGATATTTACTGCTGAAATGTCAATAATGAGTTGTTAACTATTATCTTACTGTATCAAGTTTTGAAGATGTTCTTATAACTAGATGTCATATCTTTCTTGAACTATGTTGCGATCATTAAAACAAATAATAGGATGTTTATTAAAGTCTTGCATGCGTTGCCTCATGTTATACACTGAGCATTTGGTCCCAGAATTCATGTGTTATATATGAATAATTACTCCCCAAAGTGATGGTGTTTGAGATGAGACTTTGGAAGGTAGTAGAGTTGATTGAGGACATGAGGACTGAGTCTTGGTTTGATGGAATCAGTGCTTTTAAATGAACAGACATCCAAGAGCTAGCTCTTTCTCTCTCAGAATCTGGCTGCCTACATACCAAAAGAGGGCATTACCTGAACTAAGTACTGCTGGCACCCTGACCTCATACAGTACGCCTCTGGAACTAAGAATATAAATTATGGTTCAGCGACAGTCCCTGATACTGTGTTAAAGCAGTTGGAGCAGACTAAGAGACCTCATTTACTGTGTATAGCCCACTGCCTGTGGGATGGATGTCTGTATCCAGCTGTATGTTAAACATGAGGAAACCAAGACTCAGGCACATGTAAGGAATTTTCTCAAGTGAGCACTGTCAGGGCAAAATCAGCACTGCGGTGAGGGTCTTACTGATCTATATCCTATACTGCTAATGTGTTCTGTTATTTCTTTAAAAATATGTTCTTGACTTCTTATGTCCAAAGGCATATTTCCTGAAAATAAATGTCATTGACCACATATAAGAGAATAGCACACAGCCCAAAGAGCAGCGTAGCAGGGCAGTATTGCTCTATCAGATTCCACACACCATGGCTTAGTCAAAGCAGAGTTTCCACTCCAGGTTCCATTCACATGCTCCCTATGGGGACACTGAGATCATTCCATATTCACACCTGTGCTACATAAGATTTGCTGCTAATATTTAAAGTAGAATCTAACATATATAGACCAGATTTGAGGACCCGTGCCTGAGCAGCAGCTGTAAGCTCCAAGCATCTTAAGGACAAGCATGGGTCTCCTGTTCAACAAGAGGAAGTATGTGTCTGTCCTGATAGTTTCAAGAGAGACTGATCAATGAAGAAGGTCTGTGCTCTTACCTGTTATCATTTACCTAACCAGATCCCTATAGTCCTGACCTCTGTGCTTGCTTGTCCTTCCTCAATGCCTCCTATCATTTTCAGTGTATGTTTCTTTCTTAAAAAGTGTGTAAGAAGAATTGCCATTGATATGACTGACTGTTGAGATGAAGAGTCTTTAGAAGCACTATCATCAACATCTTTGGAGTAATGTATTTCTGGAGCTTTTTTGAAATGTAAATGCATGTACTCGGCTTTATTCACATTCTTCAAAGAAGCCAAATGGTGTGCCCCAGTCCTGGGGACCAGCTCAAGATTCTGGCAAGGTGAGATGAAACAGACTTATCTTTCAGCCTAAACTTTAGCACGGCCTTTTCTTAGCACTTCAAGGATTCTAGATTGATCTGTACAGTGCCTAAACAGGCTGAGTGCTTCCTACCAGCAACTCAGCTCCCACAGCTGTCATGGACCACATATCTGGTAGTTGGATGGAGGATTTCCTGTTTTATCTAGATAGATTGATGCTGGGAGACACTGCCAGAATCATCGCCTTCAGATGAAGGGGAGGCTAAGAACATGAATTGAAGGAGATGTGGATTGTAGAACTCTGCAAGTTCCCAGAGAGAGAGAGAGAGGATTTCCCCATTTCCTGGGCCCACAAATGACTTCAGTCATAGGGTAGAAGCTGAGCCTTCCTTTACTGATATCAATGAATGAAAATGGAGCCATAGCAATGGTTTTACCTAAAGATATTGCAAACTCGTATATGCTACAAGTTTGAGGTGATTTTATCAAGTAGCAGGAAAGGAACAGTGGATGGAATTTCCTGGTGGGGTGTGTTGGAGAGATCAGTTAAGTTCATTGCTATTGCAAATCTTGACCCATGCTGGCAATTCCTGGCTTACACCTCTTGCTCTTTTTTTCCAACTCCTGATCTCATTCTCTGGGTCTCGTCCCTTCCTCCTTGGCCCTTCCCCACCCTTCCTGCTAAATCTTCTCCCTCTTCCCTTTCAAATGAGGGCCTCAAGAATAAAAGGACTCACAGTGTCCTAAAGAGTTTTCTAGCTTCAAGTAGATTTCCAAATAAGTTCCACTAGAGTGTGACTCCCTTGAGGATAGATCATGTCACCTTTGTGTCTGAAGTTTGACACTGTGTAATCGAGATGAGCTGAATATAGAAATTTTGAGTGTAAAGAACACGCAGAAGGCAATCTTTGCGCCTCCTCTTGTTGGTACAAGTGAGGTATTGCACTCTGTGGGCACCTAGGTCCTAGGAAACTAAGAAAATAGAAAAAAGAGTTTATAAAATATCAGTCTGCTTACATTTTTACTTTACATAGAGAGAGTCTGATAAATAAAACGACAAATAAAACAAGAAGCTTGTTTCAGGAAGTCATAAACACATTCATACGGTAGAGGCAGATAGAAATGCCTTTCCACTGTCTGCTTCCTTCAGGACGCCTGCACGTCATTAACTTTCTACAATTTCTTAAAAAGCAAGTTTTGTTCTGAGATTATAAAAAACAAGCTTTAATTCCCACATTGCTAATTATCTTGAACTGCCCTCTCCCAGTCCCCCTCATCTCCCAAATGCAGTGGAGTGAGGGAAACTAAGCACATTGGACAGCAACAGGAGCCAAAATGCATCCAGCAGTCACAGGAAGTACTAGTATGAAGATAACGGACTTCATCAGCTGCCTCTCCTCCACCGATCATGTGAGGTGTGCCACCTGTCAACCACTGACTATGCTGCCATCAGCTTCTGAGAACAGACTCTGCTGCTTTCAGACCAGCATGTGCAAATGGCCAGTTCTTTAGGGTGTGCCCACGAATAAACGGCCCTCACTGACCACAGCAGCCTACCGCCACGTCAGTCCTTGCAGACATCTTCCTTGCTTACAAAAGCATCTTCCATTCTTCTGCATGGAATTTGCTTCATTTTAGAGATACTTAAATTCCCCACCTGTGATGTACCTCAGAGTCTGTGGCTTTGTGCACACTTTATTTTCTGTTTTGCTTTGTAGGTCAACTTGCTGTGATTTTTAGTTCTTTCTATGATAAATACCAGTTTAATGGTTTGTAAAGTAAAGTGAAATACGACTTCAGCTTCTGGAGGTTGGAAAAGCTGAAGGTCAAGGGTTGTTCAGAAGTATAAAACCATCCATTTCTTGGTGCATTCAATTTTGATCTGCTGCCTCCCCCTTCCCTGTACCGACTTCTAAAATACAACAGACAATTCATGCTCCTTGAGGAAAAATAAGAAAATTCCATTAAGATGGAAGAGAAATAAAAAAACACTGATCTTATTACCCTAAAATTATTTTCATCATACTAATTAATATCCTAGTTTCTATTTTTTTTGTTTGTAATTGAAATGATTTCAATTACAAAAATGTGTTCATACAATGAATAGTGTTTTATAGTCTTTCCCCCCAGCTAAGAACATATAGCAAACTTTTCATTAGTTTTGCAGGCTGTATACCTTTCTACCCCATAGTATATACCATCCTTATTTCACCAAACCTCAGGTCTTGAGTATTTAGGCTGTCCCCATTGTTTTAGAGAATGTTACAACTAACTTCTCTATAGATAAAGTTCTGCACATAGTCTAAATTATTTCCACAAACAGATGGTGGAGGTGTATAAATGTTCAGTCAAAATCTCTGCCTACTGTTTAGAATTTTTTTTCTATACAGAGTAACAATTTATACTCTCACCAGGAGTATGAAAATGCAGAGTTCCCCTTTCTTGAGAATTTTAGCTCCATTAGCTATCATCCTCAGGCGTCTCATAATCCTATTCATTTCACATATGGTCCTGATAAGAACTTTTTAGTAGCCTTTTGCCCTTTATTGCTTAAGCATGTGTTTCTAGAGATGTGAGATTCTGGTTTCTAATTAGATAGATTCAGATTTCAGATTGAATTTTCTGAGTACATATCCTGTCCCGTATGTCAATGCCCCATAGAAAGTCAACAAAATACTTTGGAATGATAGTTAACGGTTTCAAGAAGAATTAAATTAAGACTGTGATGTCAGTCCTAACGTTTGTTATACTTATTGCCACAACTGCTTAACAATGCTGTCTTATCTTTTTATCAATTCCTCTCCCTCCTAAAGAAACAAACAAATTCGGGTTCTGATTAATTATCAGCCTCCTGGTTCCAATCCAGTTTGCAGAATGGCACCATGAATGTAAAAGTAAAAATATTTAACTCAAAATTAGAATTCTATTTTTAGGAAATTATTTGAATAGGACATATATCATCTGATTCTCCTTGCTGCTCATAGGGTCTGTTACCTTCCATCTGTTACTCTTCATAGAATCATAGAAACAACCTAATAGGTGTTAACAGGCCCGCTGTGCAAAGGAAGACTCTGAAGCACAGAAAAGAAATTGTATAGCCTTGACTGACACAATGGCCATCAAGCCATAGCCTAGTAAGTACATACCTGCCACTTGGGAAGGCTGTAGGTTCTAAAATGGCAGCCTTCACAGGTTGACACAGTTCATAGAATCACTGCTTGGATGTATGTGAAACATAGAAATTAAAACAAAAATGTCTTGCTTAACTTGAAGCTTTCCAATTGATTTACCTCAAAGACGTCATAGCACACTCGTAAATGTTGTTATGCTTCATGTATTTGCTTTCAGTCATAATGTACCTGCTGACTTTCTATAGAGATGAATCTAAAACACCTTAAGGACATAAAAGATTGTTAGTAACAGGAAGATTTTATGAAACCAATATATTCTTCCCAAATGTCCCTCTTCTCCTGAAATTTTCAATTGGGAACTTTTGAGAATCTAATTTTTTAAAAGTAAATAGTGGCCAAATATCTACTGAGTCCTTAAAAAATTAGGAGGATTACAGAGCTACAGAACTGTGTTTCTAATGTAAAAGTTATCCCACTCTTGAATTTGATATTTTGTTGAGGCAATATTTCATACTGATATAACCTATCTCCTTTCTCTCTCTCGTACATACATATGTTTATATATTTATACATCTCATAATATACATGATTATAGATGAAATATATATGAAAGCACTATAGAAACATGCTTATAAATATAACCCTTCACTCTATTATTTATAGTACAACTTTCCATAATAAATTTTCATGTTGGAATAAACCAAAATAGTATAATGAGTTATACATAGTAAGTTGGGGTTTTTTCCCCCTAAATACTAGGATAACTCACAAATAACAAATCCATGCCTTGTAAGCTTAATAGTCATTGTAGTAACTTAAGCTGTGAATTCCAACATCAGAAAAGACAGGCTCTTAATTAAATCAAGAATATTCTACAACTGGAGAAGAACTCTGCCTGCAAACACACATTCACATCCACATACCCACATTCACACACACAGACACATACACATTCACACAGGCACAGCACACATGTTCCACATGTCACCTCCACTGGGGAAAAGTTTGATGCAGAGTCACAGAATGCAGAGTTTTACTGAAACTTATGAAACAGTTCTGATTGCAGCATTGAGGCAGATGATTAAGAAAAATGTAGAAGAAAAGAAATCTTCACAGTTGTTTACTGGAGGTCTTTGAGACTCTACAGTGGACTATTTAAAAGTAACATTGGCTTAGAAACATAAACGATATTTCCTTATTCAAATGCCTTTCAAGGAAACTTTAACATTTAAAATTATGTACTATGCTACAAGATGTGTCAAGGAGATTTCCTATGCTAGTACCATAATAATTTTGCAAACAGGGAAACAGTGTCAGAAAAGTTAAAGGACTTAACAAAGCCAGTTGCTAGAAAGTAATGGAGCCAGAATCCAAGTCCTAGCCTGGGATTCCAAAACCAAGGATGTCCAGCCCAGCCGCAATGACCATTTTAGAGATAAACATGATTACCAGTATTTAAAACCTGATGTCAGAACAGATGGCCAGAATTTGCATGCATGTTAAAATGTCAGTGTCTTAGCCAAATCCCCACAGATTAAAAAAAGAGTGCACTTTCAACTTAGCGTAACTTTGGAGAGGTTGAAAGAGGGGCTAGTTATAAAATTGTGGTGGTATCCTGTGGTTGGTAACAGGTTAGGGGCAGTAATTGGAAGCTCAGAACAGGATTGTGTTGAGGCCACCAAAAGCTGCTGTGCAGTGAGCCTGGAAGAAAAGAACTGTGCACCTCACCCTGCTCTTTGATGTGACTCTGATCTGCCCATCTCCAGTTGACTGGACTCATAGTGCAACAACAAGGGAGCTCCTTGATTGCTCCTTGCCAGTCAGTCTGTGTAGGCCCAGAGCAGGGTGAGAAGGGCCTTCAGAAGTATGTGAAGATGTCCATCACAGTC